TTCTCTTTTCTAAAGACACAAATGATTTTCAGTTTTTGACAGAGGGACTTTCCCACTCTGAGTTGTCTTTCACTAATAAATAAGCTACCTGGTGCCTTTCTTAACAAGAAAGTGTATTATCTGACCCAGAGCAACACTGCGGGACTCTGAATTAGTCCGCTCTCACAAACTGGTTGTCGTTGCTAATACACATGTACAATCGCACCAGGGTGAGCTATAACCCAAAACAAAGCATCAGCCTCTAAAATAAAGGCTAACTTGTAACCTGATTTTTGAGACCCTCAAAAAGAGACCTTTGGGGCCCCAAGTCCCCCCATTTCCTTAAGAACTATCCAAGTACCAAAAATAGGAAAATCCATTTTATGTGGGCCCCCCAACACAAAAATGGGACAAGATAGGCTTAAAAGGACTCCTACATCATCTAAGTTTCTAAATGTTGAGGCGAGTCTAAATAATCACGTACAGTGCCAAACAGAGTGCCACCTGAAGAATGGACTCCATGCCAAGGTTTTTACCCCTGATATTCAGGAGCAATAATAAAATATTTTGGCCACTGTTTCTTCATAGATTTCATAGTGCGTTTGATTCAATTATCATTTCAGGCTTTTTTTAAAGATTATTTATTTATTTATTTGACAGAGAGACAGCGAGAGAGGGAATACAAGCAGGGGGAGTGGGAGAGGGAGAAGCAGGCTTCCCGCTGAGCAGGGAGCCCGATGCGGGGCTCGATCCCAGGACCCCGGGACCACGACCCGAGCCAAAGGCAGACGCTCAACGACTGAGCCACCCAGGCGCCCCCATTTCAGGCTTTTTGAAAAGTTCCCTCTTCTTTCTGCCTGTTAGTATGTGGTAATCTTCATCAGGCACAGGCAGAAATAGGCCAGGAATCCCCCAGATGTTCAGACTAAAAAATAGTAATACGTAAGAAATACCTTGTAGTGATCCTCAGAGATCCACTTCCATTATAAGTGCTATTGGCAATGGATCACACCAGCTTTACAACCACAAAATCAACACAATATGCGAAAAGTTCCATAATAAATATACTTCCAAGAAGCTCTAAGGGTTGAATGGACAATTCCATCTAAGAAAAATAAAAACAAAAAAACAGGGCAGATCCTTGTTCATCTCAACTGCTTGCTCCTACCCAAAACAACGGCCACAATCCAAATCTACAACGATTCTTCCCACCAAGGAGTCTACCAAAGAATTTCACCCCATTCTCCTTTCTACCCTAAGCCAACCCACTTCCTTGTCCAACAAAATGCTTGTTCTTCAATTCTCTGTATTTCCATGAGTGAAGAGTAAACTGTCTATTCTTGGGCAGTACCTCCCCTAAAAAAAAAAGAGAGACACACTCTGTTCGTTATTGTATGTTCCCAGTGTGCTGAGTCCTAGTATACAATTTTAAATGACTGAACACTCAGACTGAGGAAGGCAAGAAGGCAAACAGGAGGATACGGAAGACCAATGCATTTCGAAGTTTTCTGTGACACAGAAAAAGCACACATGGTATAAGACCTAACACGTTCACATATGTATGTATACCTAAAGCAAGCATCAAGAAACAATACTTGGTCTTACTAAGTACAATGCACTCTGCTTATCTTTTTTTTTTTAAATGATGGCCAAGATCCACTAAACTGGATTCCAGCTAACCAATGGGACTCAGTTTGAATGGGAGTTGTTTGAACTGCAATAAATCAAACCTCACAGTTGCATTCCAAAAACTACTAAAGAACCCTTTAAAAGGCCAGCAGACAGCAGAGACAATGACCAATCACAAGAACCGGACACAACCAGGTAGGCAGTACCTTCCTCTGTCCAGCAGCCAGGGTTTAAGTAGCTCCCAATATCCCAGCATCCCAGCTTTTCCCAACTTACCCAAGGGTACTCCATCCATATGCCCTTTTGTTACCCTCTTTATAAATTCAGTCCATTCAATCTTTTAGGATGGCAAAATTCATTTTCTGCCCACTATGGAAAGCAATACTTCCTTTTTGTCCCCAGACCAACCCTCTTCAAGCCTGAAGAGAGCCTTCCAGGAACCCAAAATTCAATGAGTAAGTTGGTACTCTGCATGCCTTTGTGATCTGTGTGGATGCTATACAGGAGTATGCACACACACGTCTCTCTCTCTTTCCCTCCCTTTCCATTTTTCCAGTCTTAGTCCTGGCTGATGCAGCCTCTGGTGAAATGAGAAACCTGGGAACCCCCTGGAGCCGGGGAAGCCACTCACTGGCATGACAGAAAGCAGTGGACTCACTCTCCACACCACAGAAACGCCTGGCAAACGAGTCACCAAGTTATTTGAAGACCCAGGCTGGGAAAGGGAAGGGAAGACGAGAGAAGTAAGACAAACTCGAGGAGCCGCGGCAGGATGACCGGCTGAGCCCACCTCGCAAAGGCTGGACCGCAGCCCACCGCTCCCCAGGCCGGCCCCACATCTCTCGGAAGGCAGGTGAGCGCAGGAGGGGGTCGCGGGGTGCAGAGACCAATGGGGCCCCCGCCGCCCCTGGGGACTGGGAAGGGAGGGGAGGGGTCAGAGGCCGCCCCCCTGTCCCCAAGGGGCCCACTAACCTCCCACTCCAGCTTCTCTCCACCCACCGCGGTGAGTGCGCCTTCCCTACTGCAGGGAAGGAAGACAGCGGAGAAAAAGTTAGAAGCTTGACGCCCATTCCCCCCGCCAGCCACCCTGCCATACCGCTCTCGCCGCCCGGGAATATCTCGCAGCCGGCCTCTCTGGCCCAGCGCCGCCTTCTGCCCTCCACGCGGCCGCTCCACTGCGCCTGCGCGCCCTACCCAGCCGGGAGAGCGGCGGTCTGAGAGTGCGCGCGCGCCTTGCGTGTGCTGGCGTGGGGGGTGGGACCTGCGCGGCCCCGCCCCCTCCTCATCCCCCTCCCTCCTCTCGTTCCCCCTCCCCCAGACTGCCGCGGCCGCCGCAGGAGCCCGGAGCTCGAGCCGCCCAGCGACTCCCCCTCCCCCTCCCCCAGCCCCGCCCCGCCCCAACCCGGGGCTCCGAGCCGGAGCCGAGTCTGCGCCTGGGGGTGAGTACGCGACCCTTCCCCAGCCCCTTCTCTTTTCTTTGAGGATCCTACCACCACCCAAAGAAAAACCCGGACTCAGCTGCGTGTCCCCTCCCTTCAACCTCTTGCGGGACCCAGAGGTGCCCGGGCCCGCGGGACCTAGTGGTGCCGCACGCTGCCCCCAACCCCGCACCATCTTGAGCCAAATGCGAGTCCTCCGAACCCTGCCGAGGGTCCAGATGTGCCCCGCCGTCTGTCCCCACCCCTGGGGAGATCCCGAGGGGTGGGACCCCCGCCCCCGGCCCCCTAGCGCCGCTCTTCTGCCACCTGCCCGGTCCAGGTGCGCGTCCCCCGCGCGCCCCTCAGGGTTCCAGCTGCGCCCCCATCAGCCCGCCGCCGCTGTGGGGAACCTGCCGCCCCCGCCCCCGAGTTTTGGATTCCAGGGTCGCTAAGTCCAGTGCCCTCGGTCTCTTTTATCTTGTCTCCTGTTTCTGGGGCTGAGTACCCCAGAAGCCGACCCGGGGCGGGGGTTCGGGCTCGGACAAGGGCAGGGTTCGCGGGTGCTGGCATGAAGCCGGCCGCTGCCCTCGGCCCGTCTGGGGGATTGGTCGCGGGCTGGGGAGGCGACTGGCCCCGGGAGCGTGTCCTCTCCTTGCGCCCCACACAGTGCAGTTCATTCATGAGCCGCCCGGGCCTGCGTTGGAGGGTGCGGTGGGGAGAGGATTCAGACACGGAACCAGGAGTGGGGCAAAGGCCCTGTTGGGGGGAGGGGGCGCGCTTTGTCCCTCCTGGCCTTCTTGACTGTCTAGGGAGGACAGTCCCAAAGATTTGGCGTCTTGTTCCTCAGAAGAGAAGGTCGCTTGGGAAGTGGAGAGGAGAGGTCAGAGGGGCCCGCTGCCCTTGGGGCTCTGTGCTGCCACCTGCCTGGGTCCTCTGGGGGGAGGTCTGGCCGCTCAGCACTCCACTTCCCTGCGGGGCAGGAGAGTCCCAGCTTCTCTACCCAGTACCACTCTAGCCCTGGGTCGGCCCAGGAAGAATGAGGCTGTGCCCAACGCCTCTTAAGGATGGACCCTCGGTCTTGCCCCCCAGGAGCTTGTGAGGAGAGGAGTGGGAGTGTCTACCAGGCTTCCAGCCCTGGTATGCTGGCAGCATGACTGTCCTCCAGGGCACCAGAGGGTCCAGGCCCTGGCTTGCTCCAGGTGGCACATGCTAGGGCCTGCTGTTGGCTCACCCAACTCAGTCTTGGCCTATGGGTGGGTGGGTGGGGATGTGGCAAGGCAGAAGGCAGGTGGCGGGCAGCTAAAGGTAGCTGGAGTGGCTAACCCCCTTTTGGACATCCTACAAGTTCTCTCCAATTATAACAGCATCTTAGAGACCTCAGTTCAAATTCCAGCTCTGCCATTTTTTAGCTGTGTGACCTTGACAAGTTACTTAACCTGTCTGAACCTTAGTTTTAATTTAAAAGTGTGTTTACTACCACCTCCTTACATTTATCATGGGGATCAACTAGATAACACAGATAAAGAGCCTGGCACCCTTCCTGGTTGTTGATCAATAATAGGTTCTCTTCTCTGAACTTCTGACCCATCCTGGCATAGCATCAGCCTCCCATACCGCCACCTTTCCGGCCTGCTACAAATGGATTGGGTATATTTGAAGAGTTTGGGGACACTCCCTGCCACTTAGTGGCAGAGTCCCAAATGCCATATAAGCCCTTGGGTCTAAACAAGAAGCCCATCCTGACTGAGGGGCTCTATCATTAAAGTGTGTTTTCCTTTATTTTTATTTTTACCAGTTTCCTCCAATAAACCAACCCTTTTATGCCAGACTTTATTAATAACAGTAGCTAATTTTTTTAGAATCCATCACGTGCCTTGAACTCTATTAAGAGCTTTACATAAGTCGTCTTGTTTAGTTCTCAAAACAACCACACAACTGGATGATTATACCCATTTTCAGATGGGATTTTCAGAAGAAACTGAGGCCCAAGGTGGTGAAGTAAATTTGCCCAGGTCAGTAGCCAGATCTGTCCCATCCTAGAGCCTGAGCTTTTAACCCCCAGGCTCTGTCACCTGGCCTCTACACTTTTCCCAGAATCTGAAATCACAAGCCCAAGGTCTTAGTTGAGGGTCTGGCAGCTACAGGCAAAAAGGAGGGCAAACACCAATAGGATGTGGCATTTCTCCAGAATTGTAGCGGGCAACCCCCAGCCCCCAACTCCCAGGCCCCCGGTGGAAGCGGCTCCTCTGTGGGCCAGGGCAGCAAAATGCAGTGGTCAAGAGCATATACTTGGGCGCCTGGGTGGCTCAGATGGTTAAGCGTCTGCCTTCAGCTCAGGTCATGATCCCAGGGTCCTGGGATCGAGTCCCGCATCGGGCTCCCTGCTCCTTGGGAGCCTGCTTCTCCGTCTGCCTCTCTCTCTCTCTCTGTCTCTCATGAATAAATAAATAAAATCTTTAAAAAAAAAAAAGAGCATATACTTAAGCCAGGCTATGTGGGTCCATATCTGGATTTATGACAAGTCTGGCTGTGTGACATTGGGCAAGTTATGTACCCTCTCTGCACCTCAAGTGTCTTCTCAGGGTCTGGATGGCGAGTAAATAAGTTAACATGTGTAAAGCGCTTAGAACAGTGCCTGGCACAAAATCAGAGTAAAATTAGTATTTGATAATGCATTCTTTTCCTAGTGCTTTTATCCTCACTTGTGGATACTTTTTTGCCGGTCCCTGTGAAATTGGGAGGGGTGGAGCAAGGATATTAATACTTCTTTGCTACAGTTTGGAAGACTGAGGCCCGGGTTACATAATAGCAGGGCAGGGCTCCATCATCATCTCTCTTCAGACCACACCGCCTTCCTAGGAGCCCAGGCCCTAAATGAAGAAATCTTCCCAAGTGACTCAGGAAGAAAAAAAACTTTTTACCTCATAACTCTCCCACCCCTGCCACTTCTTAATGGTAAAATAACAACCTTTAGATAGCTGGAAATAAAATCCTCCGCCACCCTCTACCCATTGGCGGCCAAAGTCTCGGTGTCAGACTAGAGAAATTCCAGGATACAGCTGGCTGAGTGGATGAACTGCCCCCTCCAACACCTCCCCGCAAATATTCTACCTCAGTCTCTTCCCTCCAACCAGCTGCTCTCACTAAAAGCTTTGAGTAGCTGCCCTAGGTGAAGTTCAGCCCAGCAACCTCACCCCCACGATTTGGAGCTTAGAGGAACCCAGTCAGCCTAAAAAGCCACCAGCCCTGGCTCCACCCTTTACCTACCCTGTGACCTCTTGTGAGTTGCTTCTGCTCCCTGGGTCCCTGCTTCCTCCCCTGTGAAGTGGGGATAGTGATCTGATCCAGCAAGTGTGCCCTGCCTTCCTTGGGTTTGCGGTGGGGGGGGGGGGGGGGAGGGAGGGGGGGGCTGGGTGATGGACATGGGGGAGGGTATGTAAGAGCAATGCATTTGTGGAGGGGAGAGTGCTTTGTGACTCTAAAGAGGGAGGCAGCAGATGGACATGGTAATTTTAGTTACTAAGCATCTACCTGGACCTTCACCCACCCTGTGGGGTCCCCTTAATGTAAAAGCTCCTGGAATGTTCCACCTTCCTTCAGTATGGAGAGGACTGGTGGGGGGGGCCTCCAGGGGTTTGTACCCGTTACATTCATTTTTGTTTTTTGTTTTTTTAAGATTTTATTTATTTGAGAGAGAGAGCGTGCGCGTGAGAGCACGAGGCGGGGGGGTGGGGCAGAAGGAGAAGCAGGCTCCCCACTGAGCAGAGAGCCCGACATGGGGACATAGGACTCGATCTCAGGACCCTGGGATCATGACCTGAGCCGAAGGCAGACGCCCAACCGACTGAACCACCCAGGCTTCCTGTACCCGTTATATTCTGGCCTGGTGAAGCCTTGGAGTTAGGGAGAGAGACAGCTGTCTTGATTGGTGGAGTTCACTGGAGTAGGGAGTTAAGGGGGGAGGTGCTACTGCAGAGGGCCCCCAACTACCACACACCCAAGCTACCTCTACCTACCTTTAACCTCCCCTTTAACCCTGGTGCCCCAGGGTTCTGTGCACCTTATGTTTACATACCCAGGCTCCCAGGCACACCCACACCCACACCCCAACTTAGAGACCAGTCACCTACCTCCCCCTACACACACACACACACACACAGACACATCAACAGATGTCTGCACACCTGAACATACATATTCCCACAGTGTTCTGGTGTTTTCTAGCCGGAGAACATTTAATGAGCATGTACAAAACTTCCATGTTCTGCAGAGTCCTGTTCTAGGCACATCAGAAGAGCATGATGCCCTGAACAGTGTTCTAGCTTTAGAAAGAGGTTGACCTAGGTTTGAACCCCATCGTTTTATTAGCAGTGTGACTTAGGAAAAGTTACTTAACCTCTCTGAGCCCCTGTGCCCTTATCTTAAAATGGCAATAATATCCAACTCAGGATTGTCGAGGATTAAATGAAATCACGTATTATTCTTGAAACAGTGAGCACTTGATAAGTGGTGCCTGTTGCAATCACTGAATTAATGGGGTTTTCAGGGTTTTTTGGTTTGGGGTTTTTTTTTTAAGGCAACTTGAGCTGGAACGGAAGAGGGAGGCATAACACACCAGGCAGGTACTACCTTAGCCTTCCTAACACAGGCTTTTCAGAGACTCCCTGGGACCAAGTGAAACATACAAACAACCACAGCTTCCCCCTCCGAGAGCTGGTGCCTCTTGTCCTGTAATTTAAGTGTTAGGAAGAGACTAGGGAAAACCAGGGATCAGTGGGCAGAAGAAACCCTTGAGTCCACCCAGGAGGCTGGAGGATGCTTGCTCCCAGAGTTATTGTCACCGGTTCTAGGTTTGTTGTTCTCTCTCTTTGTCTGGTTTCCTCTCTTCCCTGGGGATCCCCCCCACCAAGGCAGAGTTTCAGTGTTGTCAGCAGAAGGGGCCCCCAGGGGCCCCCCAGTAGGACGCGGGTGGGGCAGCAGTGCCTCAGCCACACTTCTCCTCCACCCTAGCTCCCCAGGGCCCTGCTAGGCTTCGTCCCCAGGCACTCCCAGAACCCAGGTATCCGGGCTGGCTGCCCCTTCCCTCCTCCTCCCCCGCCCCATCCTCCAGGTCCACAGAAGGCTGGACAGCCCCACAGTGGTGGGGATCAGAGCTGAAGGGTAGTACCCTGGCTGCAGGGGGCTTGGGCAGGCTGAGAGGCCCCCACCCACTCTCTCTCTTCCTTTGCCAATAGAAAAGCTGGAGGGCCTGGCATTCCCAGCCTGCCCTACTCCGGAGGCAGGAGCAGGGCACTCTGGGAGTTGTAGTCCTCACACCACTCAGGTGACCCCTGTGCTGAGATAATTGGAGAGGTGAGGAAGCTGGAGGGGAGGAGGGTGTAGCTGCTTCCAAGGCAGGAGAAAAGGAATGAGAGCAAGCAGGAGTGACTGGGACCAGGCCGATAACACAAACCCGGAAGTCCTACTTTTTAACTGACTTCCCACTCTGACCCCATCCTCAGGTCCCTACTCTGAGCACAGAGGACCAGCTCTAAAGCTGAACATCTTTTTCTTTCCTTTTTTTTTTTTTTTTTAAGCCAATTGTATTGAGAAAGTGATTAACAGAGTTGAAAACTCTAAGCCAATGAAACCATGCCATTTTTCTAAGCGGTAGGAAGAGAAGATCAGGATGACCTAGCTGGCTCCTGACCCATCCTCTCCTGGCCTCCAGACCCCACCTCTTAGCCTTGAATCCTCAGGCCTCCGACCTCCCCATCTTCCCTCATACTCAGTTTCCAGAGACAGAGAAAGAAAGAGAGAGAGAGAGAAAGCAAGCAAGCATGTGAGTGTGTGTGTGTGTGTGTGTGTGTGTAGAGTGTTTGTGTGTGTATATGGAGGTGGTGGGAGGCAGACGTTAGAGACTCACAACTTCCAGCTTAGAAAAACCAGTCTCCCCAGTCCAGATCCGGGCCAAGTTCCCCAGACCCAGGGTGGGGTCGCAGCCTTACAGCCAATGAAGGTAAATCCATGTGACTCAACCCTCCCCTCCCCAGGCCCTTATCTCAGAAAGCCAGTACTTCCACCCACCCAGGCTGCCGGATGATCTGCCCTCACTCCCTCTCCCCGTGCTCAGGCTGGGAGCCATGCGGGGCATCAGGAACAAGCCCCGCTGACCACTGTGCTCTCTGCCCAGGAGGACCATGCGGCAGTAGCAGCCATGCTGCCCTTCCTTCTGGCCACTCTGGGCACCACGGCCCTCAACAACAGCAACCCCAAGGACTACTGCTACAGTGCCCGAATCCGCAGCACCGTCCTGCAGGGCCTGCCCTTTGGGGGCGTCCCCACCGTGCTGGCTCTTGACTTTATGTGCTTCCTTGTGAGTGCCCACACACCACCTCCCCCCCACTTGGCATCCACACCCTGTACATAGCTAGCTGACACCCGCAGCCCTAACCTCTCCTCCACCTGACTCTGACTCCCCAGGCTTACCTGTGGGAGGGGTCTGCATCACCCAGCCCGAGCCTAGCCTCCCACAGTTCACCTGAGCCAAGGTCATCCCAGCCCCTTCGCCCCTGCCCTCCTGGCTAGTCCAGTGCGTGGACAGTCTGTCCACCTGCCAACCATTCCTTCTGCCCTCAGGCACTGCTGTTCTTGTTCTCCATCCTCCGGAAGGTGGCTTGGGACTATGGGCGGCTGGCCTTGGTGACAGATGCAGACAGGTAAGGCTTTGGGACTCTCCCTTACCTGTACACACACACACACTCCTCAGGGGTAAGAAAGAGCCAGCCCTCTCTCATTGCCTTTGTTGGGGGGATGAAGAGGGACCAGTCCCAGAGCAGACGTGGGGGACATGAGGGCATGGGCTTCCAGCCTTTGCCATTCCCCGGGGAACCCCCCCCGCCGCCCCTCCCCCGTTAACCCTGTCTGTTCTCTGTTCCCCAGGCGACGGCGGTGGCAGGAGAGGGAGAGAGTGGAACAGGAATAGTATGTGGGGCACCTGCCCCCTCATCCCCACCAAACCAGCTCTCTCTTTTCTTCTCTCATGCTTCTCTTCTCTTCCTGCCAAGTTACTGGTTTCTCTTTGCAGTTTTCTCTTCTGCAGGCTCATGTTTCGGATTAACGCAGGCGGTGTGCTTTGCAGAGCAGGGGGCTCCCCAACTTGTCTCTGCCTCACCACTCCATCCCCCACTCTGGCTTTCAGCCTGGGAGAAGCCCCTCCCTGTGTGCCCTGCCCTCTTGGTGGCTGGGCTGGAGGGGCCGTCCTCCCAGAAACTTACAGTACGCTCACCTGTTGGTCACAGAGACAAGATTGGGTGTCACCAGTGGCTTGCCATCCCCTAACAACTAGTTCTTCATATTTCAGGGTTCCCTGCTCAGCCCTTCTGGAGGCCTGGGAGGGGGGCTTCCCACGGAGCCCCGAGTCTGGCCTTTGAGGTCGCATCATTGGTCTCTGTCTATAGGACTGACGTTGGAGTTGCGGCAGCTGCTGGGGTCAGGGAAAGGGGAAGGGAGGGGCCCACCTGGGGGACATCCCTCAGCCCCCGATATCCCCAGCCCTCCTGGGGCCCTCCTAGTCCATCCTTTCCTCAGCTCCCCGTTGCCCTGTGCATAACATTGGCTCTCTTGCCCCTCATCCGGTCCCCTACTGGTCAGCTCCAGAACTGCAGGGCCTGCTCCTGTTCTTACTTCAGCCTCCAGGGGGTAACGATGAAGACACCCTCCTTTCCCTCACTGCCCTGCACTGGTGCCCCCCAGGCCTCCTGAAGGAAAGAGGCGGATTTAAGGGGGGCAGGAGAAAGGCAGTCATCCCTCCCCGCTTCAGCCTCTGTGCTTTCTGTGCCTTGTCTAGCCCCGGGAGCTCTGGAGTGGGAGCCCCCCAGTTCAGCCCTGCTCCCCAGGAGCTCAGACTCACCAGGCTCTCTGCTCTCTCACCCCCCCCCCACTCCCAGTGTGGCCTCAGCTATGCACGGGGACAGTCATGACCGGTATGAGCGTCTCACGTCTGTCTCCAGCTCCGTGGACTTTGACCAAAGAGACAATGTGAGTGCCCTCCCCAGACCTGTTAGCTACCTGCTCCTCCTCCGGCTCAGGGGGCTCAGCAGCCTTAGCTCCAGTGGTACAGGGTCAGGGACCTATGGAGTGTGACCTTCTCCGCAGCAAGGGCAACACCTGTCTAAGAGCCACAGGAAAGCCACCCTGACCTGGAACTCTTGGCTCTGTACTCCGTGCTAACCCCCAAGCTAGCACCAGCCTAACATCACGAATCCCAGACTTTGTCCCACATAGAACTCTGTGCCTGTCTCCACCGATTAATCCCAAGGACCCCTTTTTCCTTAGGCAGGGTTTTAGAAGTAACAACAGGCCTTTCTGGCCCATCCACCAAAACATAGAATTCGTTGTGTTGCTCAGAGACTGCAGGCTGGTGGCCCTTGGCTGGGTGGGGCCAGTTGCAGATTGGAGCTGAGTGGCAGAGGCCCCTATAGACAAGGCATGTACGTGGTGATTCACAGCAGTTCCCAGACCCTCATTCACGTCAGGCCCAGCAGTCTGGCGTTACCTGCCTGGCCCCTGTCGTTCTGCCAGCGTGAGGGTCCTGGACAGAACTCTAATCTTTAGGCCCTGGGATGTCCCTGGTCAGTCCAGCTTGGGCTGGGGGCCCTGGGGACAGCAACTCTTGTAGCAGCCATAGTAGAAGAAGCCAGTCAGCCTCCTGAGTTGGACTCACACTGGTAAGTGGCAAAGCAAAGGTATCGCCCCTGCCCACCCAGAGGTGTCCAGATGGTCCCTAGACTCAGGTGATGTTGGCAACAGGTAGCAGTCCTGCATCTTAGCTGGAAGGCACCTGTCTCCCCGATCCTGGGTTAAGCCCGGCCCTTGTGCTAGAAGGAAGGTGGGGGAGGGTTCTTTCTGCCTAGCCCTCCCCCATATGTCCCCAGCCTGCTGTCAGCGGGGTGAGTCTCTGTCTGAAGGCAGGCCTGGGAGCTTGAGGGTAGGAGATTGTAGCTCACAGGGACCCAGGGTCTGGTCCCTCTGGGGTGTGCTGGAAGAAAGGCGGCAGGAACTCGGGCAGTTTGGCCTGCCCCTCTGCTGTTGATAGCCGTGCTACAGATTCTTGTTAGCTACAGGGCTGGAGGTTCCCAGTGCCCTTGCTAGAACCCTGAATCCCACCCATCCCTACCCTGACCCACACAGCTTCAGGCCTTCCCCTGGTTGTACTGCCCCGTTGGCTGTTTGCAGGGATCTACAGCTCTGGGCATGAGCATCCGCAGACAGCCCAGTTTGGCCTTGTTCCTTTTCTCCTTTGAGGGCTGGCACCTTCCCTCTCCCCCTCTGGGGTGCGCTACTTTCTTTGGGGGGTTGTGGCAGTTGTGCCCAGGTGGGCCACAGCCCGGAGGTGATCATGAGAATGGGGCGGGTAGGATTCAAGGGGGAAGGGAGGTTCGGGTTGGGCTAGGGACTCCGACTGATAGCCCTCTGTCCCCCCAGGGTTTCTGTTCCTGGCTGACAGCCATCTTCAGGATAAAGTAAGTGAACAGTCTTCAGACTCTAAGGAAAGAGAGAAACAGAGAAGCTTCAGAACCTGTCACTTCCCTACGAAATCCAGAGGCCAACAGCTTTGAGGGCCTTAGCGCTCCCAGCCAGCCCAGCAGCCTCTTCCCTGCTCCAGGAGGCCAGGCCCTGGGGTCCCGGCCTCTGTTGTCCCCTGAGCTGGGCCTCACCTTACCCCACAGTCTCCCGTGTGCCCGCCTGCCTGGTGGGCCCGCTCTGCCCACAGCTCTCCGAGCCCTTGTGGCAGGGGCTGAAGCCCCCCACCTCAGAGTCTCGTGCAGACGGGGGGGGGGGGGGGGGCAGGCTGGGAGCAGCGAGCCAGCAACAGGCAGGAGCCAGTGTCCGGCAGGCAGAAGTCAGGAGATGGAGCCAGAGTGCGGCAGGCAGGCAGTGAGCGCTGAGAGAGGCAGGAGGCCCGGACAGGTCAGCACCGCCACTGCCCACGCCCCGCCTGCCCCCCCGGGGCCCCTCCCCCGGCGCACCACGTCTGTGCTCCCCCCCCCCCCACCCTCCTCTCTCTGTCCTCGTCTCCTTTCCCTCCCCTTCCCTCTCCCGTGCTCTCCTCTCCCCTCCCAGAAAATAGGGGGCCCCGAGACCCCC